CATAGTCATAAACCCGCTTCTCGTACTAGTCGTCGAAGGGCCAAGGAAGCGGCTTCTCTGGATCTGTCAAAATCACTTAGCTGGTGAATGAAACCGAGCTGACCCGAATAGCCTGCGCATAGCCCCGCCACGATGGTGATGGCTGCCATCGCAACCAATCAATGGAGCCTCTTGACCGTAACAGCTTTTGCCTTTGCCCTCTTCTCACTTACCGATACCATCACACTCCTCGCAAATCATCGCATACACCTCGTCCGCTTTCGCATCCATGTTTTCCCTATCTTCCCACTCCACACCTGCGCTGAAATTTGGATACCGAGTTAGTGGAACCTTGCCAATACAACGTCCTGCTTCTATCATCCAGCTTGCGTAGCGCCCTCTGATGCCGCCGCTCCTTCCTCGCCCGGTCTGCACGCACGCGGTTCGTCCGCCTCGAGCTGCGGATGGACGGCATGCTGTTGCTCCGTGGCGTGTGTTCTTTTCAGGGAGGAACGCCGGAGTATGTCGACAGTCGTAAAGACAGGGTCGAGAGTACAAGCGAAGCCGGAAGCTCGCGCACAGTAAAGGCAGTGCGCACGCTCCCACAGTACAAAGGGTCGTCTGTGAGTGCGTTATCCGAGGGTGAGTCTCAGTGCTGGGCTCACAGTGAGCTGGCAGTATTGAGCACCTCAGACTATCGCGGGCTCCAAAGCGGAAACTCGAAGACTCGTGTGAGTCTGGAAGGACGGGGGACCGAGTTCGGACATTGTATTTGGAGGAAGTTGTATAGCTGCGTAAAATCGGTTAGTATATAAAAGTTTATTAGTGTTTGTGAAAGCCACCCGGCAGAGAGCTTAGTGCGGAAGAAAGTGAATCGAATTGCTCTTGATTGTTTGGCTCAGCGGCAGTCGGGCGGACTTCTATACTAAAACCAACAACGATACCACTGGCACCCTTAGTTGCGTTTGCTCCCAGTGTCCTCCGTGCTTTGACAAGGCTCGAACCACTTCGCCATTCCACTCTTGTGCTCGTCGGCGCAAAGACGCTGATGGAACCTTCTGCATTGTGGGTGTTGCGTTTGCTTCATCAAATTTCATTATCCTTGGGCTTCTTGCGCAAGGAATTGCTGGCTTTATCCACCGAGTACCTTTACCCCGCTAGGCATCATGCTTCGACCCGCTATGCAATACTTATAATCCTTCACCCATCACCCGTCACCGATCACCTACCAACCACTAGCATCACGCATCAACCCCTCCCTCTACTCCCCCTGCTCATCCCCAATCTTCTCCAACTTGCCCGGATTCCTCTTCTCCCCCGTCTCGCCAAAAAACCGCACCCGATCGATACGTGTCTTCTCACTGCCCTCCGCGCCCGCCACCACAAACACAACCACACTGCTAATATTCTGAAACTTGACATATCTCAACTCCACCTTCGCCGTCCCCGTCTTGGTATCCCAGTCCGAGTCCTTGATATCAATCTCCTGCGTGCAGGGCGTATCGTCCGCCTCATCAAACCCTACAACATGCGGCCGATTGGTGTAGAATTTCAGTTTAGTCGGCCGTGTCGCTGCTTCATCGTCGTCTTCGTCGCTGGATGGTGGGAGGGAGGTGAGGAGGATACTGTGGAGTTTGATTGTCGCCTGGAAGGGAACGAAAAGCATGAGCTGCTCGTCGGTATCACTTTCTATCCAGTCCTTCTTCTCGCTCTCTTTCGCCTTGCCCTGTCCCAGTGAACTGGGTCTGCTGGACTCGAAAACCACCCGTTTATCCTTCGTCTCCGTACTCAAGTTCAAGAAATCCAGTCCCAGTAAATCCACACTACTAGTAACATCTTCATACCCTTTCGGCGCCGCCGCTCCAGTCCACACACCTCCTACCGTACTCCCACTCCCACTTGCTTCTCCAGCTTCATCAGCTTTCCCAGCTTCCTTAGCCAACTCTTTAACAGCCTCGTTCAGACCCTTGGGGTCCGCGCCCCGGATCCTCTTGATTTCCCGTCCGGCTTTGAAGATGAGGAAGGTGGGCATGGCGGTGATGTTGTAGGTGCGTGTTATGTCTTTTTGGGCATCGGTGTCGATTTTGACGAAGGTTATGGTGGCGGGGCGCGAGAGTTGGGTGGAGAGTTGTGCATACAACGGTGCTGTGGGATAGATGCGGTTAGCCATGGGTTCTTTGTTGTAGGCTTGGGCGATCATTGTGGGTGGTTTTGTATATACCTATGGCTTTGCAAGGGCCGCACCATGATGCCCAGAAGTCGGCGACGACTACGCGGCTGGAGGAGAGGACGGAGTTGAAGTGCTGCGCGCTGGTGATGTCGATTATTTGAGCCATCGTTGCTGTGTTTGTTGAGTGTTGTGGTAGCAGTGAAGACGTGGACGCGATCAGTAATTGATGGATGGAGAAGGTGGGGGTACGAGGGTCGTGTTTCAGAAAGTGGGGGCGTGCTTGCTGGAACTCGATCGAATGTGGAAGTTACGACTGACAGACACAAACAAGTCCAACACAATCATGAAGCTGACATGTCCTCCAACACCCTCCAAGGCATAGCACTCACACGCTCCGAACGAATTATCATCATTGCCCTCAACTACCTCTGGATCATCCCTTCGCTCTACAAGAACGGCCGAAGACTGTACAACTATCTCTCCAGCTCCTACGTCGAAGCCCGGCGACGACTGCAGCGCGAACGAGAACGGAACGCGCAGTAACAATAATAATAAAAGAAGATGTCCACACTCTTCGTCGTCGACTCCAGTGCGCGACGGACAGCGGTGAAAGTCACGCCCGCCACATTGCTGCAGAGCGTATTGGTGCAGGCATGTCAAGCCAAGAAACTCGACCCAGCACTCTACACCCTCAAAACCGCGGCAAACAAATCCGTCGATCTCTCGCAGCAATTCAGGCTATCGGGACTAAGTGCAGGAGCAAAACTGCAGCTTGTCCAGGCATCCAGGTCGGCGGGTGTGGTGAATATAGCTATCCAATTACCTGATGTCGAGGGCGGGAGGTTGAGCGACAAGTTCCCTTCCACAACCTCCCTCTGGCTCATATTGCGGAAATTTGAAGATGGCGTCGCAGGTTCAGGGAAGAGGTTGAACTTGACGCAACGAGGTGTGCAGCCAGAAGGTGCCTCAGCTGGGACTTTGTTGTATGAGACTCCTTCGGTGTCTGTCGAGAACAGGAAGTATGAGGGTTTTGAGGAGTTGCAGAAGACGTTGGGGGAGTTGGGGTATAATGGCGGGAATGTATTACTCAAAGTTAGTTTTCGGAGCACACAACAGCCGTTGGAGGAGGCGATGAAGGAGATCGGAGGGTTCTTCACGGCGACAAAAGATGAAGGCGCGATGGAAGGGGTTGTTAGCCCACAGGCAGAGATGCCGAAGGACGCAGAGGTGGACGAGGGTGGTGGAGTACCGATGAGTGAAGACGATATGCCAGCTCCAAACCCATCCTCAGAAGCAGAACCACAACCCTCGTCATCACAAGCAGATCCGCCACAACAGCAGCAATCCGACGAGAACACACCGCCTCCTCCAGCTACCTCTTCAACAACGAACCGCATATCCGTCTACCGTCCTCCCACCAACGGCACACCCGTCGCCGCCCTCGCCCCCGACGACCCGTCAGCCTTCGAACCCACAATCGACCACGCACGCCTCCATCAAGCTACCCTCGGCACCCGAGGCCAAAACCAACGCCTCAAATCCGACAAAGAACTTGAGGAACTCGAGGCTACGAAGCAGCAACACCTCGCCACGGTACAGAATGTGAGGGTCAGGGTTCAGTATCCGGATGAACACATCATCGAGACCGTCTTCGCTGCCTCAGCTACCGCTGCAGAATTGTACGAGACTGTGCGCTCTACTCTCCGCGGGCCTGGGGAGGCGTTTGAGTTGAGGTGGTTCGGACCCAAGGGTCGACTCGAAAGTCTGCCGGACAGTGGGACGAAGCGTTTGGTTCGGGATTTGGGGTTTAGGGGTGGTGTTAAGGTGACTTTGGTTCCTGCTGCTGATGCTGGGGTGGAGGCGAAGAGGAATCTTTGTTTGAATGAGGAGCATATGAGTCTGGCGCGGGAGCTGAAGGTTGAGTTGGCTGAGCAGAGGGATGATGGCGAGGCGGCTCATAAAGAGGCGATGGCTAAACCTGAAGCAAATGGTAGTGGGAAGGGTAAGGGGAAGGCGAGTGGAGGGGATGTCGAGGCGAAGATGAAGAAGTTTTTGGGGTTTGGGGGGAAGAAGAGATGAGGCGAAGGTGGATATGTGGGTGAGGGTGAGTAGGGACGTGAGTGATTGGGGGCGAGCATCCATTGGGAGCGGGAATGGGAAGAAGGGGGGATGAGACTGATGAGGGGGATGAGGTAATGAGGGGGATGAGAGTGAGCATTCATTGATGTTTCTTGTAGCGTTTTGAGCGTACGCATGGCATGGCATGGGCGTTACGAGAACAATCACAGATCACCGAAAGATGAGATGAGGACTCACCTGCTATTCTGCTATGGTCTTCCGGTCGAGAATCAATGAGTCTCGCCATCTCAGCCAACCCCCCGATTCCGGTCAAAGTTTCGAGCCAGAGCGAAAGCACACCTCGGCGCCGTCCTGCGAGGTAAGGGAAGTGCAAGCGAACCCACTGGGGATCACTCATGCTAAAGACCAAATGTCGTCGACTTAAGAATGTCAAACACCCGTTAGCGCTGCTGGAAGCCGTCGTGTGCGGGACGCTTGTCGATGGCTGATGTTGCTTTAGGCATGCGCACGAGCGGTGAAGTGAAGATGGGGGCCTGTTGTTGAAGAGCTGGACTGGAACCTGGCATAAACACTTGCCTTCACGGCTTCAGTGGCTTCAGCAGACAAGGCAATCGAAACCACTACGCCACTGCTTAGACGTGGTTCCATACCCCTTCGAACTGATGCTGGTTCCAGCAGGACTTTAAGCGTCGTCGAACCCCTGGGCAGATCCTCGGACAGCAATCACACTTATATAACAGAACGTCACCACAAACCGTTCATTCAACAATCAGGATCTTTGGTCTAGTGGAATTGACTATTGCGAACGAGTTCCAAGCGGTTCCTTCGGGGATGCGGTTCACTCCAGTCACGCCCAGCGCGTATATTGGTTCATGTTACTTTGCAATCGACCCGGGTTCGATCCCCGGAAGATCTATCACTTTCTTTTTCGTCTTTTGGGGGCGTGCAACAGCAGCGTGAGACGCTGAGGGTCTCTGCGGATGTGATTTTCTTTTGCTGCATCAACAATTGGATTCCCAGCTAATGTGCACATGCAGCCATTTTTTCAGGAATGCGAGGAGACACCGCAGCAAGAGGAAGGCTGCTGCTGTCTGCAGACGAGACCCTGACAGGGAGACACTTTTCTGAAGCAGTCATTGTATCATTCTGCGACACGCGAGCGTCACCCGGTCACAGCGAAGATCGCGAGCAATAGGTGGACTCGTGTACAGCAGCGGTGCGGCTATCAACAAGATCATTGAGTTGGGCCCTGCAGCCTAGCATTGTAGCAAGACAATTTGTCGTTCACTAGTGTGGAGAGAGTAAGGACAAGAAGCTCCGTGGAATGGCGCTCGATTTCAGCGCTGGGATATATTTCTTGCGTCGTTGTGCTTGTCTCTCGAGAACCTGCTGACTGCGCCCTGAGATCGTATAGACTCGGCGCCTGGTTATCGTACCTGCTTCCTGGCGGCGCAAACGGAATAATATTATCATTGAACAGCACTCATGCCACAGCAAACGCAGTATCCACAACGACTACAGTGTGAGAAAGAACGTTGCATCAGGCTCTTTTCGCGTGACGGCAAGCAAGAACAATGTTGAACCAACCTTGGACTGATCTGCAGCAAACACTCCAAGAGGATCAATGATAATATTTGAGACAGTTCTGCCGCTGATCAGACATCCCATCCACCTCCTTCCGCAATAAGCTTTTAGCGGGGATACCTTCGCAAACGCTCATTTGTTGGTGCCTGGAACTTTATATTCTACCTCATAACATAACACTATTCCTCTGCCCCCAATACACGGCCAGACTTGAGCTCCTTCCCCGAGACGTCGTTACCAAGTCTACAAGCCAAGTATACCTTCACTGCGGCGCTCGAAGCGGACGATGCGTGTGTGTGAAGGAGAGGCGAGCAGTGAGCAAGAGCAATTCTCGCCAATGATGGAAGGAACAGGTGCGGAGGAGGCCGGGAGAGACGGCGAGAAGATCATGGCAACTAGTGAGTCGCTTACACATCTTCAGTATCTTCGGCAATCGTTGCGGTCATTGACTTCTCGCTGCACCCAAGCTGAGGGCCAATCTGTTGCTACGTCGAACATCCGCTGACTACTGCTTCTGTACTGCCAGAAGATAGACAAGTTGTTCGTCCCACCCAGCAGCTGGAAGGCCGCTGGGAGTATCTCTCTAAATATGATCGGGACCAAGCGCATTTAAACTTCGGCGACCAGGCGATGTTCGGATTCACTGGCATCACGCACCCAACTGCTGCCCAGATCTGGCGAGTTCGAGACATTCTCCGAGAGTGCGGCGATGAAGATGTTACCGTGGGGATTGGGTTGGTTTGGGTTCCATTTGTCACTGAGGAGCTCCGTGATCAGCAGTCGATGCGCTAGACTGCACTCGAGCCGTCCGAGACGAAGCGGCCTGCGAAGAGGGCTGCGAAGGAGGAGTCTGTGTTGAATTGCGAGGCTACTGCGCCGTCTGTTGATGAGGAGTGTGTTGCCAAGCGCGAGGTTACTGCCGTGTCTGCGGACTGCCTGAGCTTGGAGGGAATCAATGAAGAGAGATTGGAGGCGAAAGACGGGTACATGGATGCTGAAGGAGGGCAGTTAGCGTTCGTGATGGAGGAGAGGAGCATGTCATGCGAGTAGGCTAAACTTGCTGGTGGCGGTGTTTTGGGCACATCGGCGGCCTCGCACGGGTCCGTGTGCTGCTTGCGACGCCCAACCCGACTCGATCCCTGGCGACCGTACCCTAATGACGGCGGCTGCTTGGACACTATGTGCGATACCGCCGGATACAAAAGAAATGTATGCTTGATGTTTCGGCGTGGCGAATGTTTCGCCAAGATCGGAGCTTGGCAGTATGAGGCGACTACTACATGCATCGCTTCCATCAAATCCCGACTGCTTGTCAACCAACGAATACATTAACCGCCTTAGAGATATCTACTACCGTCGCCTTGCCGGCGGAGAGGGTAAGCAGCGGTGGTGGCAGCAATTATCTTTCTCATGTTTCAATGCACACACCAATGAAAAGTCGTGGTAATCCTACACATATGAGGACAGTATTGAGGACATCACCAACGGACAATTCTGCCCTCTCATACTAATACCTCGGACTTCTTGCTCTCCTACTCGCTTTTTCACACTGACATCAGTTCATACAAGCCAGAACAAAAACTCAACAATCGACTTCAAGAACGCATACTATCACAACACAACAGCATTAGCAACCACACAACATGCCTGCTGGAATTACCAAGTCTGTTAAGAAGATCCCATACTCCACCGATATGAGTCCAGAGAATGTTCAGAGTCTCCTTGGTGCGATCGCCGAGATGGATCGACACAACCCCCCGAAGCTGCATGAACGTGCTACAGCACCGGTAGAAAATACGAACGACACGATGCCCGCTGAGCCGTTTATGGTCGACAATACCATCGATGATCAGCACCCCGAGCAAGCGAAGGCTGCTGCTGCATCAGCCGAGATAGGACAGGAGGCCAGCCCGATCGACCTTACCACGGACGACGAGTCTGATCTCGCGGAGGTGCCACGCCTTCGCACTTGGATCACTCGCGCTAATCCTCGCGGGAAGCCAGACGCCGACTTTGACGAGTATTATGATGTCACGCCAGAGAGAGAGTTCTCGACTCGCGAAACCGCGGAATATGCGATGATCAAGTCAATCGCGACGTTTTCATCGAACGTTCGCAGGGAGTGCTATGCCACGCTCTCGAACATCAACGAAGATTTCGATCGCAGGTTGGCCGCAGGCGATGCAACACACGAAGCAGAGTGTGCCGAGATTAGTATGTGGTGCTTTCGAACGCCCGAGACTAGGTTCACCAAACCCTTCGACGAGCCGATGGAAATGGATTCCTGGAGGCGCTACGACGCGCTTCGCAATTCCGCCAGTATCCAGCGGATGAAAATGGTGCACAGGTATGGCGCGAAGGTTACCAGGGTGCGCGAGATCCTAGAAGTCTACGTTGAGGCGTTAAAGGAAAAGCGATCGAGTGTCTTCTACGCTGCTCAAGCCGAGCAGGCAATCGTGAGGGACATGTACACAAAGAAGACCAATACCGTGAGGGGAGCTCTCCAGACGCACATTGTTGAGCTGCAAAATTGGGTCAGCAATCCGGTGGTGGATTTCTTTGACGAGGTGCTTGGATGGGAGCTCTGAGCAGGCTGTAGTTGGCAAGGCCTGAGATGTCGCATGGCTGCAGAATATCTGCCATAGTTTGAGACTGTTCGCTCGTCTTGGAGCTTGATCTGGTTTTGCATTTGATAGGCATGCTTCGCACTGTACTCGCGTCACTGAGACGCAACTCCCATTGTCTCCGCCCTTGAGAGCATCGTCATAAGGTACAGGTTTGCAACCAACTCCAGCTCGAAGCGACTGGCCATCTTTCGTCTGACCTCTCATTATCCATCGCCCGTACGTCTGCCTGCCGTTGTCCATAGCAAGCCAAAGCGCTTCTGCCTTCTCTACCTGGCGCATACATAAGAGTTTGTGTCGTCTCTTCCAGATTTGCTGCTTCCTATGGTACACAGCTTTGACCAAATTGACCTCATATATACATTACCCCCTGACAAAGACTCTCTGTGCTCGTCCTGGGCAACGACAAGTCCACGCCATCGTCTACCTGGCTCTTGCTTTCGACTTGTACCAGTTGATAAGGTTCCTCAGTCCATCGACGAGCTCCACCGGTCTGGCTGCGGCTTCTGACGACAAGCTCTCGAGCTCGGTTTCGGCGACCAGGCGCGGTGCGGTCATGGCCCCAAGTTCAAGAGCTGCAGCCGGGCGGTGAGGGTTGTTGGGAGTTCCGTCTGAGGGCTTATCGCCATCAGGCCAACATCAACTTAGCCGCCGGGCCTGGTATGGTCTTGCCCGCAATCCGCAATCTGGCGTCCGCGAGGCATCTCTCGCAGGCGCTCGCGCTCACCGCACTGTGGGAGAGCCACACATGACGTCGATCGTAAGAGTTGTGGGGCGGTGATAGTAATGGGTGAGGCGATCTGTGATCAGCATCGCTCGGGTAGAGAGGCTGAACAAGTGGAAAGAGCATTCTCTGCTCTGCCTCCTCTTCTCTGCCAGGTATAGCCTGTTGATGAGTTGACAAGCTTCAAGATGAACAGCAACAACAATCCCGCGCAAGCGCCTACAGACGGACAGCAAAACGGCTGGATCGCCGTTCCCATTTGGCAGCCATTGCAGAACGTGCCGGTGTCTGTCAACCATCCTATTCCAAGCTTCGCTACTCTATCCGCCCTCACTACTCCATCCGCCCTCGCTCCTCCGTATCAGCATCCTGCTCGCCGGATCTCACACTGCAAACAATCCGCAACCGCCGGCACCGAACCTTGTCCCTCCAATCTCCGCTGCCGGCTCGCACAATGGCGCGCAAATGTATGGGAAGCCGCCTAGTCATGCACAACCGCCGATACAGACACTCGGACCTAACCCCGATGTCACTACCAAGGAGATCATGCGGTTCTGTGCAGGCTGGTTGCAGAGTTCACAGACACTTAGTGTCATCCCACTGTTCCGGCGCACATGGTAGCGGTTGAAAGCGGTGACACAAGGAGGTCATGAATGCAAAGCAACGGAAAAACCTCAACTTTCCTGTATATCGACCAAAACTATACTTCCGACGCATGATTCGTATCCAGAAGCGAATAATTCATCGTCATCTCACTTCCAACTCTTTCACGCTGCTCACCGCCGTCGGTCTCGTTCGCGATCGCCGTGTTTCTCTCTTCCGCCCTCACGCCTCTTCGACCTCTCCCGCTCATACTCTTCGTCCTCGCGATCCCTGTCCCGCCGCCTCCGCTCTTTCTCCTTTCGTCGACGGTACTCATCGTCATCCTCATCTCGGTCCTTGCGACTACTGTGCCTGCTGTCCTTATCCTGCCGACGCTCATCC